ATTAAAGAGGGCACATTCTGCGTGGAGCACTGGGTGTTATGCACAAACAATGAATCATGGAACACTACATCAAAAACTAATGATGTAATGTATAGCGATTAACGTAACAATAAAAAATTTAAAAAAAATAAAATAAAAGGTCATAGAAGTGGTCTAAAGACAGCAAAAGGAAAAGCAAGGACCCTGTACCTCATCCAGGCTGGTCTCCTTACTCACACTTCCTAAACTCCTGACCTAAAACACTGCTCCTTTCTGCCGCCTCTGCTTTGCTCAGCAATGGAAGGCCAATGCTGGAGGTGGCCTTCCAGAAGCCACCTTCCTTTACTTCTTATGTAATCTATGGATCCCTTTGTAGTTTTTACCACTCCAGCCCCACACATTTCTTCCTTGCCCAGCTTTTATTTCCTGTCCTTCAACTTCAGCATCTGCCTATTCAACTGCATTGGAACCTCTCTGAGGGCAGAGAGTTACACACTGACTCATTTCTGTGTCTGCGCGTTGAGCTTATTTTGAGGCTCTGAGATAAAAAGCCAGGAAGGACTAACAGTGTAAAAATGCTGGCTAGGAGACTTGCTGCCCTTCCCGTGTTCTTCTTACCATGGAAGATACACAGATGGCAGGTGCTCGCAGACTTGAAATGGTTGGAAACTGATTACATGTTCCTATGTATCATACCCCCAGGAATCTCCAGGATTAGGGTCAGTTGGGTGTTTGGGTCAGTTGATCTGCCCAAGCAATCAATACTCACTCAGCCTGCTATTGGTTTGTCGTGGGGTCACTAAAAAGAGAAGACTTCCTTCTATTATTTATGTTGTAGGAAGCAAGTGATAAGAGGCTCATTGGCAAAATTTTATTTTGCCCATGAAATTTAAACTTAGGACCTTTCTGTTCACACAAGTAAGTTCCCGAGTAAGGTGAAAAATAAAGTGTAAAAATATCACACACACACACACACACACACACATGGACATATACATATATAGTTTATATGTGTATGTGTATAATGTATATTTATATACATGTACGTGTTTATGCATATGGGGGTGTGTGTCTGCGTGTGGGCTTAGAAATGAAGAGAGAAGGAGAGAGAGAGAGAAAACATCTCACAGCTTGTTCTCAAATCTTGAATTTTATCTGGTATCAAGAACCCACCTAAGGGGCACCTGGGTGGCTCAGTTGGTTAAGCGACTGCCTTCAACTCAGGTCATGATCCTGGAGTCCCGGGATCGAGTCCCGCATCGGGCTCCCTGCTCGACAGGGAGTCTGCTTCGCCCTCTGACCCTACCCCCTCTCATGTGCTCTCTCTATCTCATTCTCTCTCTCTCAAATAAATAAATAAATAAAATCTTTAAAAAAAAAAAAAAGAACCCACCTAAGTTATAGGAATTTCTAAAGACAGGACAGGAAGGATTTTTAAGACAACTTCTACTTTAAATAAGAGAAGATGTGCATATCCCCATGTGTATGATACTATTTGAATTGCTACAGAAACAGTCATAACATAAGCAGAGTCAGTTTTATAGATGTGCTGCATTAGTGCATTAATCCAACACAAATATAATTTTTTCCCCCTACAGTACGCCATGGAACCTAATTACCTGCATATTTGGCCTAGAAATACCTTCATGATGATTGCGCTTCCTAACATGGTAATATAGAATTTATCTATGTAATTTTGCACCTATAATTAAAGTTTTTCATTACTTACTTTGTATTTTGTATGTATGCCTAATTGCTTTTACACTTAGCATGTGTATACTTAACATCATTGTTCAGTCTATTTAGTGATTATATCATTGAAACTTTGGGATTCCTGAGGAAAAAGCTGAAGGAATTCCAATTATTTATCGTGGAAAGGAGACTGAACACATATAAGTTACAAGTGGCAGTTTCTGTGTGGTGCCTGTCCTCTCCCCCAAGATGGTGTAGGAGGAAATGGCCTTCCAATAAACCAAAGAGATTCGGGTTCTACACAAGGCAGTCCTTCCCGTGTGTGAGGTGTCTGGGACATTGGAATATAGATAGTCAAAAAGGGGCATGGCTGTTCTTTCATTAGATCCTAGAGACTTTTTGCTCTCTAGATTCAGCTACATATTTCTCTAGTTGATCTTCTTCTGTCCCTTGGCAGCAATGTTGGGGTCCAGTGCCTCGTGACATTATCTGAAGAGGAAGAAGAGACAGAAAAAGTGAGGAGAAATTCAATCCAACCAGCCGATTAGTTATATAAGGAGGGTAGTGTTTGCGATTAGTAATCTAAGGAGGGTAGTGGTTGCTTGGTGAAATGGTGAGGTTTACTGTGTAGAAATTCTAGTAAGTGAGAAGCTGGGAGCACCTGGGACTTGGCGGGGCTTTTCTTTGGGAGCGAGGGGAGAAAGCCAGCTGTGTTTCCTGCCGGCCTGGACATTTCTGCCAGGTGTCCCTCGGCCACAGCAAGAACCTGAGACTACATTCTCTCACACTCTTCTTCTCCTTCTCACAGAATAAATCTTTCACGTGTACTTTGTTCATGCCCTTTGACGAGTTTGAAAAACTTGTAACCAGCAGTGATGTACTGGATTTCTTCCAGAAGTACTTTCTAGATTCCATCCCTCTAATTGGAGAGTAAGTTTCAAGATGTGCAAGTGTGCCTTTCTCTCCACTGCTTTGAGCTACTCAAAATCTAAATAAAGGTGCTGCATCTTACTTCCATTTGGATGAAGTGTGACTGGTCCTGGACGATAAGCCTGCCTTAGAGCAAAAGTCGAAAGCGGATGTTGTGCTGTGAGTGGGAATTCTGAAAACCCCATGGCAGGCCCAGTTTCCCTGGGAAAGACAAGTCACCCACGTCCCCAGGCCTCTCTGCCTTCTGTGTGGGCTCTCAGGCCCTTGGAGGTTGGTGTGCTGCAGAGTGGGGCTGTGGTTCCCTCTGCTGGTGGGCACACATGTCCAAGGCCCAGCAGAAGCGAGTCTGGGTCCTCACTTGCTAGCTGGGTTCGCTTTCCTAGCTCGCAGGGCCCTCCCGGGAACATGCTGATCCATAGTGGTACCTGCCCCAGAGTGTTGAGAGGACAGGACAAGTTCCTGCCTATAGATTGTTCGGCACATGGCCTGGCACGTACAGAGCCCCCCAGCTGGGAGCTAGCTTGTTAGCTGTCTGGTTTATGACCCACGGCTCCTCTGCTCCCTGTCAATGCCACTCCCCCCCAGGGTCTTGTCACTGGGTCTCACTAAGTACCTCTGCCCCCACTGTCCTCCCTGGAATCCAGCTCACTCCCCACCTCCAGCAGGTTTTCATGGAGGCAGCACAGTGCTGCAGAAAGCGAGATTTAAGGCTGCTTCTGCCCCTCACTCCCTGAGTCTCAGATCACTCATCTTTACAATGGGCATCAGGACATCTACCTTTGGGGGGCAGTTGTGACAGTGACATGCACTAACTATATAAAAGGGGTGGCCCACTGCCAGCCTACAGCAGCTCTCTTTAAAATGGTCGATTTCCATCCTTATCTGCTGACTCAGTGCACACTGATCTCCCTTTTTCTGATGTTGAGAAATCTCTGCACGCCAGAATTTACCCCTTACGTTTCATGGTTATTTCTTGCCTCTCCAACCAGACTTAAAATTCTTGAGGGTATGTACTGTTTCTCTGCTTACAGCTGTCACAAATCCTCTGTAGATGCCTGACGCTCACTAGCTTCCAAATCTATATAAAGTTGCGTTCATTTTAGTTTTTGGTGTGTGTGGCTTTAATCAGATGCACCACATCTCAATTTTTCCATTAAAACCCAAAACACAACAGAACAGTTGAAAATTACATGACCCGCACGCCTGATAAGAAAATTTCATGACACATAACTCAGACACATTTCGGGTTCTTGAGATGCAGTCAAACTTGTCCTGGTTGGATGTGATTAACATTGTTGAGAACAAAACAATTAGAACAGTGGAATTTCAGGAACTCGAAGAAACTTCAGTTTCTCCTTTTCCTGTTTTCTTTCTGGCATTTTTGTGTGTTTCTCAATAAAATCCAATAGTAATGAAGTCAGTACATCTGAAAGAATTATGCAGGATTTAATACCCAACTTCAGGTGCTTATGTTCTGGTTGTTTCCCTCTGAAGGCAAACCCTGGTACGAGATTTTTTCCTGTTGCCGGCACAGCCCATGATATCTGTGAAGTGCTCTTCTTTTCACCTGAAGTCACACTGTGTGCTGATGGGGGATGCAGCTCACGCCATTGTGCCCTTTTTTGGGCAAGGAATGAATGCAGTAAGTCCTTTCTCCCAAAGTAAGTCAGTCTCAACCAAAAAATCGTAAATAACAATCATGCCTAAAACTATCCCCACATAATGTCTGAGGAAACAATCAATTCCACAATCCTACCAGCTGTTTAAGTTGATCACCAACTATAGTCAAGTCTTGGGTTGCTTGATCCAGTAATTTCACATAGGAAAAAGCAGTAACGCAGAAGACAGTTTTCTGTGCAGTTAGAAAATATATCGATAGCTTGAAATTTGGGAACCTGTCAGCAATTCAAGGCTTAATTAAAAAAATTTTTTTTGAGATTATGCATAAATATATAAATGTTAGGCTCAAGAAAGAAAAAAAGCTCAAACCGTCTATTGTTTACTCCACTTTTTCTTTCCAAAGGAAAGGAAAATGCAACTGGCAGAGTTGAAGAAGACTATGAAATAGATTTGATGTTGAATACTACTGCTTTCATGGAAGTTTTATTGTTCTGGCTAGAGAAAAATATTTCTGAAAAGAAATAGTGCTCAAATATGAAACATTAATTTCAAGGAATCCTAAAATAATTATCTAGACAGACAATTATTTTGTGTGTGTTTGATAACTAATAGCTTTATAATCAGTCTTTTATTGTTTTGGTGATTGGGATCTATCCCAAGTGTAAACAGGCTATAAATCTAATCACTTATATTTTCCACAAAGTAGCCTAAACACTGTTTTACAAAAACCTAAGAACACACCAATTTTAGGATAGTGGATAAGGGCCCGGGCTCTGGCAGTATAAGGCCCAGTTCAAATCCTGGCTCCAAGATTTATTAGAATATGTTCTTGCTCAACTAACTTAAACTTACTTTTAACTTCCTTGACTGTAAAATGGGTTTTCAATAGTGCCTATGCCATAAAAGTTCTTGGGGGATAAATGAATGAATTAAGTAAAGAATTTAAGAGTGTTATTATCTCAGCCTATATGGTATTTTGCATCTCTAACTTCCTGTAGCATTAATAGTCTATATAGCTGACAAGAATATTTATTTGCTTCAGATGTAATCTCTATAATTGATGCAAAGAATATTTTTTAATGTTTACATTTTTTTATATTGTCTCGAAAACTATAGTTTGAATTCCTAGAAAGCAGGAAACCTAGCTTTTGATTTTCTTCTTCCCCACTGTGTTTAGCGTCGAAACTTATTAAATAGTATTAATTTTGTGGATTTTGTGACATTGGAAATTTGCTTTAATCTTTAGTTTAAAGGAACTAAATTAATATGAGAGTTCTATCCTGTCATTAATTGCTCTAAACGTGAAGCTTAAAGACTGAATGGTTTAAATAAGATTCAAATACTCATGTTAGAGCAATATAATTGTTCTTGCTTCTTAAAGAAACAGTGGAATCCATCAAAATTACAAGAGTAATTTAAAATTTTGATCAAATTCCAAATCATTATAATCAATATGCATTAGGCAAAGACAAACCATCAGGTATGCAATTGAGGGTCATTTATGATCATAATTAAATGCCATATGTGACTAAGCAGCTGTGTGCTGGTTGAAGACAAACATCCTATGAATCATACTCATCAATGGGAAGTCTGTTCAAAATTGCTCAGAAGCTTTCATTATTTCCAGTTTATTTTCCCCTATTTTTTCTTATTTCAGGGCTTTGAAGACTGCTTGGTATTTGATGAGTTAATGGATAAATTCAATAACGACCTTAGTAAGTAAAATTTGTGAAATGGACATGGACTAGCCCTGCTGATAATTGTGGACCTATTTCTGACCCTGGAGGAGGGCAAACCCATGATGCATTTTTCCTGTTCGGGATTATAAATTTTTCTATTAGCAGCCTACGCCACTGGTACCCGCATCAGACAAGGAGCACCCAGAGAGGGAAACATAGTTTCTTTTCAGGTTTGTACCTGGAGGTCTGTGCAGTGATCCTCACAAAGAAAGACTTTCCCAGGACAAACATTTGCTCAGAATACGCTCCTTGCTCTCCCTTTCCACCTGGGGAAACTGCACCTGCATCCCCTCCCCCCAGAAACACTTGCAGAAGCTCCACTGCTTTTTTGCTTGTTGCCTTATCAACGTTGCAGCTGCTACTTCCATTTGCCTTTGGTTAAAACTGATTCCACGAGATATATTGATTTGACAGATCCTGGAGTTTAAGATATTTATATGTAATGTGGAAATTAAATTAAATTAAATTAAATGTACACCATAAGTTGCTAACAATAGCCCGAGACCTGGATAACTGTTACTGCTTCTCGGCATCCGTGGTCTCAAACGCTACCTCTGAATTTAAACCTCGTTCAGGTAAGGGATAGATGTAGAGAACTGGCTGTAAGTCTACACGCAGATTCCAGTCCTGACTCACCAACTTACCTGTAAGACCCTGAGCAAGTCGTTTCAGCTTTTTGAAGTCTCGGGTTTTCTTTTTTTTCTTTTCCATCTATATAGTGGGGACAATAATACTAACTTCAGAGAGATGTGAAAATGAAGTAAAAGTATTTGTGTAAAGCTTTTTTATTAGTTTCAGAGGTAGAGTTTAGTGATTCTTCAGTTGCATATAACACCCAGTGCTCATTACATCACATGCCCTCCTTAATGCCCATCACCCAGTTACCCATTCCCCTACCCCCGCCCTTCCAGTAACCATCAGTTTGTTTCCTATAGTTTAGAGTCTCTTAGGGTTTGTCTCCCTCTCTGATTTCATCTTACTTTTTTCCCTCCCTTCCCCTATGATCCTCTATTTTGTTTCTTAAATTCCACATATAAGTGAAATTATACGATAATTGTCTTTCTCTGATTGACTTATTTCACTTAGGATAATACTTTCTAGTGTCCATGGACAGATGAATGGATAAAGAAGATGTGGTATGTGTGTGTGTATATACACACACACACACACACACATATATATATATACACACATATGTACAATGGAATATTACTCAGCCATCAAAAAATGAAATCTTACCATTTACAACAACGTGGATGGAACTGGAGGGTATTATGCTAAGTAAAGCTTTTTTTAAAAAAAAAAGTCTGGCACAAAGTGAGTTCACAGTAAATGTTTGTGATGGTGTTTTAGGAAGTCCTTGGACACTGGTGTCTGGATCAGAAGGGACTAGAGGGTCCAGGGTAAAGTTCTTCTGGTTTTCTGCCTTCCTTTTCCAGTCATCTTGGTCAGATGCTCCAGATACAGAGGCATTTTGTTTCCTCCCGTCTCTGCCCTGGTGGGATTGATCTGCATGTGATAGGCATGATGGAGGGGATGGAGGGTTCATATGTGAGAGCATGCTGTCAGCAATGGTCTTGGTTACTACAGAACAAAGATAAAACAATACTGATTATGACAATGAGACTAAACTAGCATTACTGAACATTTCATATGTGTTGGGTATCTTGCTACATTTTTTAATCCATTTTCTCATTTAGTCTCCATGGAAAATATGGAGCATATGTACAATTCTTGTCCCTGTTTTACAACTTGTCCCTATTTTACAAGCTTAGAAACTTAGAGTAACTCACCCAAAGTCATATAGCTACAAGTGTTGGATCTGGGACTGGCAGCCAGGTTCTCTGACTTTTGAAATGGCATCCTTAATAACTAGTGTGGATTGGCCTTGTGAGAGTTATACTGGTTAGTCATTCATTTATCAGACATTTATTCAGTATTTACCATTTACCTGGTTAAGATTTCAGACATGAATAAACATGAGCCCTACCTCTGGGAGATCACAGAATAATGATGGAACTGACGGTTAGCTAATAAGGTGTTTTTGGTGCGGTGAAATAAATGTGGATGGTGTGGCAAGAAAGGACGTAAAGGAGAGTAGCAGATTCTAAGAGGGACTGGGTGGGGAGGGGTCACTGACCATCATTTCTATGAGCTGCTTTCCTTTTGTGAAGTAAAGAAAATAATGATTGGCTAACCAACAAGTATATGTTATATTAACTTTATCATAAGTTTTATTTAATCACAATAGGAAATGCCTGTGTGTTATTGTTCAGTATTCATTGATTATTGGTCATTCAGCCTGGTTACCCAAAGTTTGAAAAGATTAGAATAGTAGTAGAGTACACACCATTTAATTTGGTTGGTGTAGAGGCCAGCACATTTTCATAGACTGTATCAGAAACGATGTATTATTCAACTTGGCTCCTAGGTATGTGTCTTCCTGAATATTCAAGATTGAGAATTCCAGATGACCACGCGATCTCAGACTTGTCCATGTACCATTACATAGAGGTGAGTGAGGGGGTTGGGCTCCATTCCATGAGATCATTCCTGATAGTCTGATAGTCTTTTCTTTTTAAACAAAATTTTTTAAATTTTAATTCCAGTGTAATTAACATACAGTGTTATATTAGTTTCAGTATAGAATACAGTGATTCAACAATTCTATACATTGTTCAATGCTCATCATGGTAAATATACTCTTTAATCCCCATCACTTCTTTCCCTCATCCCCCCACTGACCTCTCCTCTTGTGATCACCTGTTTGTTCTCTGTAGTTAAAAGTCTGTTTTTTTGTTTGTCTCCTTTTTTCTTTGTTTGGTTTGTTGCTTAAATTCCACATATGAGTAGAATCATATGGTATTTGTCTTTCTCTGACTGACTTATGTCACTGAGCCTAATACACTCCAGATCCATCCATGTTGTTGCAAATGGCAAGATTTCATTCTTTTTTTATGGCTGAGTAATATTCCGTATATATATAAAATCACCTCTTCTTTATCCATTCATCTATCAATGGACACACTTGGGCTGTTTCCATAGTTTGGCTATTGTAAATAATTCTTCAGTAAACATAGGAATGCATATATCTTTTCAAATTAGTGTTTTCATATTCTTGGGTAAACTCCTAGTAGTGGAATTACTGATTCATATGGTAATTCAATTTTTAATTTTTTGACAAACTTCCATACTGTCTTCCACAGTGGTTGCACCAGTTTGCATTCCCACTAACAGTGCATGATGGTTCTTTTTTTTCCATATCCTCATCAACACTTGTTGTTTCTTATGTTTTTAATTTTAGCCATTCTGACAGGTGTGAGGTGATAACTCATTATGGTTTTGATTTGTACTTCTCTGATGATGAGTGATGTTGAGCATCTTTTTGTGTGTCTGTTGACCATCTGTATGTCTTCTTTGGAGAAGACATGCCTTCTGCCCATTTTCAATTGGATTCTTTGGTGTTTTTTGGTGTTGAGGTATGTATGTTCTTTATATTTTGGATACTAACCCTTTATCAAATACGTCATTTGCAAATATCTTCTATTTTGTAGGTTTTGTTGTCTTTTAGTTTTGTTGATTGCTTCCTTTGCTCTGTAGAAGCTTTTTATTTTGATGTAGTCTCAATAGTTTATTTTTCTTTTTGTTTCCTTTGCCTCAGGAGATATATCTAGGAAAATGTTGCTAAGGCCAGTATCAGAGAAATTACTGCCTGTGCTCTCTTCTAGGATTTTTATGGTTTCAGGTCTCATATTTAGGTCTTTAATCCATTTTGAGTTTATTTTTGGGTATGGTGTAAGAAAGTGGTCCAGTTTCATTCTTTTGCATGTGGCTATCTAGTGTTCCCAACACCATTTGTTGAAGAGAGTATCTTTTTCCCATTGCATATTTTTGACTCCTTTGTCGAAGGTTAATTGACCACATAATTGTGGTTTTATTTCTGAGCTCTCTATTCTCTTCCATTGATCTATGTGTCTATTTTTGTGTCAGTATCATACTGTTTTGGTTACTATAGCTTTGAAGTATATCTTGAAGTCTGGGATTGTGATACCTCCAGTTTTATTCTTCTTTTTCAAGATTTCTTTGGCTATTTGGGGTCTTTTGTGGTTCTATACAAATTTTAAGATTATTTGTTCCAGTTCTGCATAAAAGGCTGTTGGTATTTTGATAGGAATTGCATTAAATGTGTAGATTGCTTACATTAGTATGGACATTTTAACAATATTTGTTCTTCCGATCCATGAGCATGGAATGTCTTTCCTTTTGTTTGTCATCTTCAGTTTTTTTCATTAATGCTTTGTAGTGTTCAGAGTATAGGTCTTTCACTTCCTTGGTTAAGTTTATTCCTGGGTATTTTATTATTTTTGGTGCAATTGTGAATGGGATTGTCTTCTTCCTTTCTCTTTTGCTACTTCATTATTAGTGTATAGAAATGCAATGGATGTCTGTATATTAATTTTGTATCCTGAAACCTTACTGAACTCATTTATCAGTTCTAGTAGTTTTTTGGTGGAGTCTTTAGGGTTTTCTATATATAGTATAATGTCATCTGCAAATAGTGAAAGTTTAACTTCTTCCTTACCAATTTGGATGCTTTTTATTTCTTTTTCTTCTCTGATCGCTTTAGCTGGATTTCCAGTGCTATGTTGAGTAAAAGTGGTGAGAGTGGACATCTTTGTCTTGTCCCTGATCTTAGGGAGAAAGCTCTCAGTTTTTCACAAGACTGTGATGTTAGCTGTGGGTTTTTCATATATGGCCCTAATTATGTTGAGGTATAGTCCCTCTAAACCTACTTTGTTGAGGGTTTTTATGATAAATGGATGTTGTACTTTGTCAAACGCCTTTTCTACATCTATTGAAATAATCATATGATTTTTATCTTTTCTCTTATTGATGTGATGTATCACACTGATTGATTTGTGAATATTGAACCACCCTTGCATCTCAGGGATAAATCCCACTTCGTTACAGTGAATGATTTTTTTTTTTAAGTTGTTGGATTTGGTTTGCTAATATTATGTTGGGGATTTTGGCATCTACATTAGTCAGAAATATTGGCCTATAGTTATCTTTTCTGTGGTGTCTTTATCTGGTTTTTTACTAGGGTAATGCTGGCCTCTTAGAATGAATTTGGAAGTGTTCCTTCCTCTTCTATTTTTTGGAATAGTTTGAGAAGAATATGTATTAACTCTTTAAATATTTGGTAGAATTGACCTGTGAAGCCATCTAGTCCTGGACTTTTGTTTGTGGAGGGTTTTTTGATTTCTGATTCAATTTCTTTGCTGGTAATTGGTCTGTTCAAATTTTCTATTTCTTCCTGATTCAGTTTTGTGATGTTATATGTCTCCAGGCATATAACAAAATTTTTCATATTTTTTATAATCCTTTGTATTTCTGTGATGTTAGTTATTATTTCTCCTCTTTCATTTCCGATTTGTTTATTTGGGTCTTCTCTCTCTCTTTGATGAGTCTGACTAAAGATTTATTAATTTTGTTGAACTTTTCATAGAACTAGCTCCTGGTTTCATTGTCTGTTCTATTTTTTTAAATTCTTTTTTCATTTATTTTTGCTCTAGCCTTTATTATTTCCTTCCTTCCACTGGTTTGGGGTTTTATTTGTTCTTCTTTTTCTAGTTCCTTTAGGTGTAAGGTTAGATTGTTTGAGGTTTTTCTTGCTTCTGGAGTAGGCCTGTATTGCTATAAATTTCCTTCTTATAACAGCTTTGCTGCATCGCAAAGATTTTGGACCATTGTGTTTTCATTTTCATTTGTCTCTATGCATTGTCTGATTTACTCTTAGATTTCTTGGTTGACCCATTCCTTATTTAGTAGCATGTTATTTAACCTCCATGTATTTGTGTTCTTTCTAGACTTTTTCTTGTGGTTGATTTCTAGTTTTATAACATTGTGGTCAGAAAAGATGTATGGTATGACTTTGACCTTTTTTAATTTATTGAGACTTGTTTCATGCCCTAATATGTGATCTATTCTGGAGAATGTTCCATATGTTTTAGGATGGAATGTTCTAATATATTGTTAGATCCATCTGGTCCAATGTGTCATTCAAAGCCACTGTTTCCTTGCTGATTTGTTTGATCTATCCACTGATGTGAGTTGGATGTTAAAGCCCCTACTATTATTGTATTACTATCAATTAAGTCTTTTATGTTTATTATTAGCTTCTTTATGTATTTGGGTCCTCTCATGTTGGTGCATAAATATTTACAATTGTTCTATATTCTTGTTGGATTATTCCCTTTATGATTATATAATGTCTTCTTTGTCTCTTGTTACAGTCTTGTTTAAAGTCTATTTTGTCTGATAGAAGTATTGCTACTCTGGCTTTCTTTTCAGTTCCATTTGCATGACAAATGCCTTTCCATCCCTTTACTTTTAATTTGCATGTGTCTTTAGGTCTGAAATGAATCTCTTGTAGGCAGTATATAGATGGGTCTTACTTCTTTTATCCATTCTGTCACCCTGTGTCTTTTAATCAGAGCATTTAGCCTATTTACATTCATGGTAATTATTGATAAGTAGTATTTATTGCCAGGTTGTTGCTTCGTTTATGGTTGTTTTGTAGTTCTTCTTTGTTCGTTTCTTCTCTTGCCCCCTTCTCTTATGGTTTGCTGGCTCCTTAGTGGTATATTTGGATTCTTTTCTCTTTATTTTTGCATATCTATTGCTGGTTTTTCATTTGTGGTTTATATATAACAAAGAATGCTTATAGAATTCTATATTAAGTTGATGGTCACCTAAGTTTGAACCCATTCTAAAAGCACTAATTTTTTACTCCTCTCCCTCTATCCCACATTTTAGGTATATGTGTATATTTACATCCTTTTATTTTGTGAATCCCTTGACTGATTTATATAGATATACTTATTTTTACTACTTTTGTGCTTCCTACTTTTCTTACTCTTATGGTCTTTCCTTTCCACTCAGAGTCCCCTTTAACTTTTCTTGTAGGGCTGGGTTAGTGTCATTAATTCCTTTAACTTTTGTTTGTCTGGGGAACTTTTTATCTCTCCTTATATTTTGAATAATAGCCTTGCTGGATAGTGTTATTTTTGGCTGCAAGTTTTTTCTTGCAGCACTTTGAATATATCATGCCACTCCCTTCTGGCCACTGAAAAATCAACTCATAGCCTTAGGGAGTTTTCCCTGTATGTAACTACTTTCTTGCTGCTTTTAAAATACTCTATCACTACTTTTTGCCATTTTAATTACTGTGTCTTGGTGTGAACTTTCTTGGGTTGATTTTTTTGGGGGCTCTCTGTGCCTCTTGGATCTTGCTATCCATTTCCTTCCCCAGATTCAGGAAGTTTTCAGCTATTATTCAAATAAATTTTCTGCCCCCTTTTCTCTCTCTTGTCCTTCTGGGATCTCTATAATCTGAATATTATTATGCTTGATAGTGTCACTGATTTCCTTTAGTCTACTTTCATTTATTATTATTTTTTTTCTCTCTCCTATCCAGCTTGATTGCTGTCCATTACTCTGTCCTCCAGGTCAGTGATCCAATCTTCTGCATCCTCTAGTCTACTGTTTATTTCCTCTAGTGTATTTTTAATTTCAGTTACTGAGTTCTTCAAATTGATTTGTTCTTTTTTATGTTTTCTATCTCTTCGTTGAGAGTCTGAGTTCCTCCACTCTTTTCTCAAGTCCAGTGAGTAACTCTATGGTCATTACTTTAAATTCTCTATCAGGCATATTACTTATCTCCATTTCATTTAGGTCTCTTGCTCCGATTTTGTCCTGTTCTTTCATTTGGGACTTATTCCTCTGTCTCATTTTGCCTAAATCGCTGTATCTGTCTCTGTGTGTTAGGAAAGTGAGCTACATCTTCTGCTCTTGAAAGTAGTGGCCTTTTGAAGAAGAGGTCCTTTGGTGCCCTGCAGTGCAGTGTCTCCTGTTCACCAGAACCTGACACTTCAGGGGAGTTTCTTATGTTAGTTGCCTGTGCCCTACTGTTGTGGCTGAGCCACATTTGCCTTCAGTCCAAGCATCTGCAGAAGCTGTCTTTGCCTGTTGTGGTTAGGGTTTTATCCCTGTGTAGTTAGTGGGCCAAGCTGGGACTACCTTGGGGTTGAGTTGAGTCAGACCAGGTGCTGGTCAGGGTTGTCAGACCATCAAACTGCAGGGCACTCTCCCTGTGTTGTCCCCTGAGTTTTTGTTGGTGGGAAGAGCCTGCATTCAGACCAGATGTCTGCCCTCAGCCCAATGCTGGGCCTGCCAATGGATTGGTATGTGTGGTTATATTTCTTTCTCCCCAGGGCAGGAGTCACTTTGGAGTGGTGCTGACCCCTGTTGGGGCTGCTTGCCACTGCCAGGCTTGTGGCACTGCTTTGGGTGGACTTCTGCCAAGGGTGTGTTGGAAGTGGCAGATCTGCAGGAAAATGTGGGGGTAGGTGTGCTGTTAGCAAGGTAGGTGGAGATAGTTGGTGCTGCAGTGGTTCTGGCAAGTGTCCATGTGTTGAAGCTGGGGGGTGGGCAAGGGAATGGCATACACTAGTTCTTTTTTTCTTGGAGAAATCTCCCAAAGATACCTGTCCCTCAAGCACATGCTCTGAGATTAGTAAATAAATCTTCCCGCATTTCCTAGGCATTTTTTCAAACTCTTGCTTCTATACTATATTGTATATCAGTGATTCTGTTTGTTGTGCTGTCTCTTTAAAGGTGGGGACTCAGTTTCCTCTCCCTCTCCACCTCTCCCCCAGCGGAGCCCTCCGATTTTTGAAGTTCCAGGTGTTAAGCCCCACTGACTGTAAGAACTCTCCAAGTTAGGCCCCTCTGGTTTTCAAAGCCAAATGCTATGCGAATTTGTCCTCTTAGTGTGGGTACCCTATGCCTAGGGTGCCTGGCGTGGGGCCTTCTGCTCTCCCCTCTCCATGCCAGCAGTGCCCTTACCTCCTATGGATAGTCCTGTGGGTCACCGTGGCTCCTGACTGTGTCTCTATCCTTCCTACCCTCTTCAATGTGGTCTCTTCCCTATATTTAGCTGTGGAGAGTCTGTTCTGCCAGCTTCAGGTCATTTTTCTGGGTTTTTAACACTGATGTGGTTGTTATCTATGTGTATCCTTGGGATGAGATGAACCTAGGATCCTCCTACTCTGCAATCTTCTCCAGAAGTCACAAATGTTCTTTAATTTTTCTTTGCTCCAGCCCCATCACATACATGCCAAATAAGAATAGGTACAAAAAGAATACACACACACACAGGGTATTCCTTGCACATGGGTGGATTGTGACTGTAGACGTGACAATGACCCACACACGTCATGTCCATCTACATTTTAGGGACATTTAAGAGGTAACAAAAATGACAAAATTCTGGTTTCAATCACTGACAATTCACAGGCTCAAACTTTAGACATTTGGTAGAGCTAGTAATATTTTATTTTAAGGAAAATGTAATTTTGATATGTATTAACATATTTGGAAGATTTAAGAAACATTAAATGATCTTAACACTGTTAACATTATAAGCTACAAATTTGGAGTAGCTTTATAATATCCTTTGAGGCCTTATGCACTGAAAAAAATATGTATATACCAAAGAAATTCATGGTCAGAGGATTAATACTCAGAAGAAAAACACAATTACATTTTGAGTCAGTCACATGAAAAACTCACAACAAATAGTTATGGTTAAACTTTTTAAATGATCAAATGAAAAAACTTACAAGATAAATTTAAAGAAAAGACAGAAAAAATAAAAAACTAGACAAAAAAGATAAAGTGGATTTCAGTTTGAGCAGAATTGTTTCATATGTGGTGAAGGAAGTTCTATAGGATACTGAAAGTCTTCACTGATGTAACTTGCATGTGTCTTTAAAAACAAGACAGCTACAACACAATGTTTGTTCTCAATATGGAGTAAGTCAAGACAGACATAGCTTCAAAGATCCCTTCTTGCCATGAAGATTCCAAACCAGCCAGGAAACAATGGCAATTAGTCAAATCTTTGGTCCCACAGACTATCCCCAGATCTGGTTGAACAAACCTTTCACTGAAATAGAGTTTCCACATTGCCCCATAAGCAAAACAGAGTTCTCTAACAGGTTTAAAGCAGTTGCTCAACCTTTTCAAGGTAATGTCTTATACTTTTACTAAAAGGGATTGGAAATGACTGTTAAGGAAATAAGAATTTGACTACTTTGTGTCCAGCTTTGCAGTGAATGGGAATATGTTGTAGTAAAGAAATAAACGTTATTCATTTGAGGTATTCTTTAAGACTCTTACGTTATTGCAGATGAGAGCACATGTCAACTCGAAGTGGTTCATCTTCCAAAAGAACATGGAAAGATTTCTTCATGCTATTATGCCATCTACCTTTATCCCTCTCTATACTATGGTAAGGTCTGGATTTAAGACCTCTCCTCATTTTATTCTTCTATTTAGCCATTAAAGAATCACAAGAATACTTTTTAAACTTCCTTACAGGTCACTTTTTCCAGAATAAGATACCATGAGGCAGTGCTGCGTTGGCATTGGCAGAAAAAGGTCAGAACAAATTGAAGTTCATAGTGTTATGGTTATGATTCTTCAGGCAAATTCAGAAATGATGTGATAGACACCAAATGTTTGCTTCCAAATAAAAACTGTCCTGGTACACAGAGGGTAAAGTGCCTAATGAACAAAATTACAAAAAGGGAGAAAGAAAGAGCAAGCAAGAGGGGGAGAGAGAGTGCTTCTGAAGGGAAGAAATTCAAAAAAGAAACTGATGCTATTATTTTTTTTTAAGATTTTATTTATTTAGAGAGAGATAGTGCGAGCACAAGTGGGGGAAGGAATAGAAGGAGAGGGACAAGCAGACTCCACGCTGAGCTCAGAGCCTGATGTGGGGCTTGATCCCACAACCCTGAGACCGTGACCTGAGTCAAAATCAAGAGTCAGACGCTTAACCAACTGAACCACCCAGGTGCCCATGATGCTAGTATTTCTAAATGTTTTACTTTATTTTAGCAATGTAATTTTTTTACTTTTATTTAGCAACTGAATTTTGCTTCATGCAATATCTTTATGGGTATAATTGTAAAACTGGACAGAATTGAATCACTTACATAATCTAATTCCAATTTAATGCCATAACATGTTCATTTTAAGCAGCTGACCCAGAGATGCCAGTAAATAGACATTCAGATTCCTGATCTTTGATTTTGGGATTCATTCATTCAGCAAATCATTTTATTCAATGTCTAGACACTGAGCTGGGCATGGTGATGAATAAGCAGCAGCCCCTCCTCATGTAGCTCAGAGGCTGGTGAGGCAGGCTGACAGCTGCGGTGGAGAGGCACAACTGCCTTGGAGAACAGGAGGGGCCAGGGTGGGTGGGGCTCAGTGGGCCTGGAAGGCAGCCCTGATGTGTGAGAATGGCCGGAGGTACTGCTGGAATGGCAAGAAGGACCTCAAGCATTTTGAATATTATGTCGAGGGAAGCAAGGAGACCAATGGAGACTAATAGACTCAGGTGTGGATTTTAGAAAGAATGCTTTGTTGTGTGGAGACTGGATTGGAAGGAATCTAGATTTATGCCTACAAAGATGAAAAAAAATAGGACCCCGGCCCTCAAGGAGCTAAAAGTCTAATAGGGGAAAAACAGTGACAGGCAGTGAGAATGCAGGACACTTAATGCCACCAAGCCAATCACTCTTCTTATGGATACTCTGTGCAGGGTCTGAGCAGTGACTGAATCATTTGCGGCTTCAGCACAGTACTCCTCTAAGATAGCACTATAACTCTTTTTATAAACTGTGTGTGTGTTTATGGCTATACAAAGGCAGACTGCTAAGAATTCATTATACAGAACACATGGATTCAGTTATTTCTGGGAAGGGAGAGAGGACAGAGACAGAGGAAGGAAGCTCCAAATTCCTGACCTTACTAACCATTGTAGGTCTTGACCTAGTGATCATGCAATTAAATTGCTGTTTTAGGTTAAAGAACAAAGAAGACATTGTATACTCCTTGGTTGTTTAAGAATGAAGTCTTTTAAGATCTTTATCTCTGGACAAATAAAATGAGACTTCTTGCTGTTTTTACAGGTGATAAAGAAAGGACTCTTTTTCTTTGGGGCACTGATAGCCATTGGTAGTACCTACCTACTTATGAGCTCCATGTCACTGAGACCCCTGCACTACTTCAGAAGACCATGGGACTGGCTCACTTACTTCCAGATAACAGGACATGTTTCCCTGTAAACTCCATGGAGTCACTAGAAAAAAATCCCAATATCATTAGCAGGTGATATAAAGATTCTGAAGTGGCAAATGGATTTCTTTTTATCTAAAACTAAGGATCAAAACCATGTTTCTATCATCATCTTTAACTCACTAGTGAAAGATATATGTCAGCTTACAATTAAATTCAGTATAGAATTTCTCTGTTCACTGTGATTATTTGGGGGGGAAAAAACAACCCCAAACTACCAGTTTAAGTTGCAAAACACAGTTTTCCCACAACACTACACATAGGTGTGGTCATTCTAAATATAAAAGTGCAGTGATGAAGATCTCTTTCACTTCTCAAAAAGTAAAGCACCAGAAGCCTCAAGGAAGACATTGATCACATCTTCTTTTTCAAGGACATAGTTAAGGTCACAATAGGACTGACTCCTAACACCCAGGACTAAAAACTATGATTTGCCTAACATGTTAAGTACAGTTTTGATCACCTGGATGGAACTTATCCAGCATAGAGCTCAGCTTCACTTACTAAAACTGGAAGTATAAATGAGGAATTTGGGGCACTCTAGAGAGTTACAAAATGAACTAATTTTATTTCACAGTCTTCAAAGGCTAGTATCACCTTTTGAAGATTAAAAAAAAGGGGGGGGCTATTAATGCCATACTAAGTGAAGAATAAGAAGAGTTTTATTTACAAATTAAACATCGATATATACAACAGAGTGGAAAGGAAATAAGGGAAGACAGTTTTCATAGAAATTATTCCATTTGAGACTCTCAAGAAGCAGTTTACTAACCAGCGATAAACTTGATTTTGAAAAGTTCTTTTAGTGAAAACATTTTCTTTGGTTCTTCCATCTTCAGTTGAGCAACTGAAACACTCAGAAGTCTTTCAAAGATGATTAATCATGAAGATGCTACACCAGTAGGACAGTCATCTAAGAAATAAAAACTAGGCAATAAAATTAAATGGTTCAGTTTCTTTTTTATATAGTTAAAGAAATCCTTGAGTTCTAATGAGCTGTGTGTAGTCTAAACAATGACTCATGGGAAAATGGCATCTTCACTAACACTGACCATTGTTTAGCCAGTAGACTGATTGAAGAGCAAAAAGGATTAAATAACACATTTTATGAGTACAGTTTTACACTTACTTTCATCCCCTTCAAATGTAGGTTTGTTTAATTTTTTGCTTGGAACTCCTTTTCTAAACCCAAAACTCTTGGCAAAATTGTGGCAAATTGTCAAGAAGAGAAGATAATCTTGCCAAGTTATGTTTGAAATGAAACAGATGGAAATACTTATCGACCATCAACATATCCTTTCCATGTACATCCCCTGCTAATGTATGATTCCCTAGCCTCCATGATTACTTTGAAATTCACCACCTTTTCTTTGCTGGGTTGCTTTTTAATATTCTTTCTGGAGCTTGCTTAGCAGCACATTCATCTTGAAGCTCCTCTATATCATACTGCATACAGCAAGTCTTTTTTTTTTTTTTTTTTTCAGAGGAAGCCAGGGTGCTGATTTTCTTTTTCACCCTGGAATTTTCTCTTTGATAAATTTGATTGGTCAAACAGAGGATGTGACTGTGATTAGGATCCAACACTACAGAAAATTTGAGATTTCCTAGTGATTTCACACATGTATGATACAAAGTTTTTTTACAGCTATTTTTGAGCTGTGAATACAGCTAAGTATTTTTGAGAAAAATGTATTATGTGCCTTGGAAAATAGTGTCATTTAAAAAAATATATTCAAAATGAAAATTTTCAACATGTTAGAAGTTGATGGTGCCAGATGCCCATCTTGTGCCATAAGTAGTTTTTCGTTATGGAAAGCACCCATTGAATTAAAACAATTGTCTTGCTCAGTTGCTTCCAGAGGCTAGAAAGCATACAGGCAATTCAGATTTCCTGCTGAGCCACAAAAGTTCTGTTGATATTGTGGGAGCCCAGGGCAGGCTGCCCCAAAATATGCCACAATTTTGAATTAAACTTCCTTAAGAAACAGCAAGTGCAAAAAGGACAGTCTGATCTTCCTTTGTCCCCCTGAAAGCAGGAAATCTCTTGTGACAAGTACCTCCCTAAAGCAGGGGGTAGAGAGACATCTGTATCATCAGAGAGAGAGAACTGAGGGCTGAAAAAACCTGCATAAATAAACCTTGTTACTTTTACTAAATTACTACCCAGCCCAAATCCCATTTAGAATTCTTTACTGATCGAAGCTCCCAAACATGAGTTTTCCTGTCCTGTCAATTCCTTATAGATTTATGTCTCTTTGTCTAAAATGTGTAAAAGCTACATGTCTTGCTCATTTCTTTGGGTCTCAATTTTATTATTGGGCCTCCATGCATGCAGAATTAAACTTTTGGGGTTTTTTTCTCCTGTTAATCTGCCTCATGTCAATTTTATTCCTACACCAGGCAGAAGAAACTTTTAGGGCAGAGGAAAGTTTTTCCTCCCCCAAAATATTACATAGAATGGGGATTCCAAAACAGTGCTTATAATGGAAGTCTAGAAGTGGTTTCCAGTATAAGGCCTCATCTTTCATTACCATTATTCCTTCCTATAAAGGACGAACTTGGATTACATCAACCTTTGACACACTGGTTTTGTCACTGTCATCGACTGATAGCGATTCATCACTGGTGATGATAAAAATAATGGAAGAAGAATTAAAAGTCACTTTTTTCTTTGGTCTGTCCCCATCTTTTTGTGACATCACAATGGGTCTGATCTGCATTTCACTCCCATTGGCTGGTAGGTCCTTAGCAGGCCTCTGACATCTCAGCAGTCGGAAACATAGCAGTTGCAAAAGAGATCTTCGGAACTGGGCAGAGAGAAAATAAAGTTGAATATAAAGTAAAAATTTGGCCCTTAATCTGGATTAACATTCAATAAAATTAGTTGAGTTTAATTTTGGTTGTTCTTTTTTATTTATTAGCTGGGGTGGGTGTGGGGTTAAGTGGCAATGCTCATATGTACCTAAATAATCCTGGAGTTTTATGGTTTTTATTATTATAATTCTCATTAACAAAATCATATAGGACTATTACAATACCTTATAATCTTTATGGATTCAAGTTGCATGCGCCTTTTATGAGGGCAACTAAATCTGTTTCTTTAAGGAATTTGAACATTAATTCATTCCACAAATATTCAGTGAGCATCTAAAAGGTAATAGCCATTGTGCTACAATTTGGGAATATTGTGGGCAGCAAAGACTGACAAGGCCCTTCCTGCAGAGTTTACAGTCTGCTGTACTCACTAATGTTCCTTTGATTAGGTAAAGAATTTTACTCTATAAAGATTACAAACCATTTGGAGAAAAAAATACTACAGCAGAGAGTGCTAGTGTTCACCAATACCCATGATCCTCCCCCTGTCCTGGGTATAACAGTGAACCATATTTCTCAGCTCCCTTTCAGGGGCTCCTCCCTGCTCTTCCCTTCCTACAAGACCTTAGAGGTCAAGTCTGAAGATGATAACATCACAACATGAAGGAACATAGATTCCTACAGAACTGCATGGGATAGATCCCCTGCCCTCCAGCAAATACAGTGGACTGTGGACCAGGATATAAACGAGCAAAACCTTGGAACACTTGAGTGACTCAGTCAGTTGAGCTTCTGACTTTTAGTTTTGGCTCAGGCTATGATCTCAGGGTCTTGAGATCAAGCCCTGTGGGGGGCTCTGCACCCAGCAGGGAGTCTGCTTGAGATTCTCTCCCTCTGACCCTCCCCCTACTCATGCTCTCACATGTGCTCTCTTTCTCTCTGTAAAATAAATAAATAAATCTTTTAAAAAATAAATGAGAAAACCTTTTTCTTGTTAATCCACTGAAATGGTGGAGTCATTTGTTACAATAGTCTATCATAGACATTGGGGAGGGTATGTGCTATGGTGAGCACTGTGAATTGTACAAGACTGATGAATCACAGATCTGTACTTCTGAAACAAATAATGCAATATATGTTAAGAAAAAAAAGAAGAAGAAGAAGATAGCAGGAGGGGAAGAATGAAGGGGAGTAAGTCGGAGGGGGAGACGAACCATTAGAGAAGATGGACTCTGAAAAACAAACTGAGAGTTCTAGAGGGGAGGGGGGTGGGGGGATGGGTTAGCCTGGTGATGGGTATTAAAGAGGGCACATTCTGCGTGGAGCACTGGGTGTTATGCACAAACAATGAATCATGGAACACTACATCAAAAACTAATGATGTAATGTATGGTGATTAACATAACAATAAAAATTATTTAAAAAAAACAATAGTCTATCATGACCAATAAAACATATAAATAAAAAGTTACTTAATTTAACTTTTATCCCCTTTGTTCAGAGCAAAATAAAAGTTTAATACATGGGCTTTCCCAGATCAGGAAATATCAATGAAAAATACAATAGCTAGCTACATTGATTTCTGTCTTCTTTAAACCTCACTTATACACAAGTTAGTATTTAGTTTATACTCACATTTAAAACTATTTGCTTGTGACTATTCAACAAACTATTGTTTGCTATATCAGGTTAAGTGCTAAAGATACATTATTATAAGGGTTAAAGTATGCCAAAATATGTTTTCCCACATAAATGGTAAGCTCCTTGAGGATAAGGACCATTATTTTATTTATTTGTTTATTTTTGTTTGTTAGTTTATTGTGTCTTTTAGACTTCCTATTTAAAGTGTGCTCCTGAACCAGAAACATGGGGACCATGTGCAAGCTTGTTAAAATGCAGAATCTTGGCCACCCAGGCATACCAAATCTGAATATGCACTTTTGTTTACAATCTGTCCTGGTGTGATGTATGCACATTAAATTTTTAAAAGAACTGACATATGGCCCACTGGCCCAGAGAAATAAGACAAAAAATAATTATTAGGTAATATATTTTAAATGTAATTATTTGCCTGTTGAAGTGCTGGTTCTTAAAATATGAAGCCCTTACATCCTCAAAAAATTAGTTATAAACTATCTTGTTAGAAAAATTCTTAAAAAGTTTTATGACTAATTTCAGGAGTTCTCATGGCTCTCCTGAAGCCAATTCACGTAATTTTCAGATTTTAAGGACTCCGAGTTAAAATTCTCTGGGTTCAAGTAAATAGATAAATGAAGGCATCATCAAAGAGAAAAAAGGACCATCAGTGAATAGAGATTGAAACCATATGAAAGTAAGAAGATGGAGATTTAGCAGTG